GGGCGTTCGATAATATAGGGCGTTCGATAATATAGGGCGTTCGATAATATAGGGCGTTCGATAATAAAGTACGTTATAGGTTGGTAACTTAAAACGAGAGAAATTAATTAATTATGTCTGCCATGTCTATCTCTGAAACCGGCGACTGCGCTCTTTGTCGAGTGCCGTTCCACTAACTGGACGATCAACAAGTCCTTAGAACAGCTGCCGAGCGCGGTGATCTGTCGAAGGCCACGATGCTTCTTCGGAATGGTGCCCAACCTTCCCCGTGGTATCTCGACGACTCCACACCGTTGATCAGGGCGGCGAAGGAAGGAAAGAGGGACGCCGTGCGCCTCCTCTTAACGCATGGAGCTTCTATATCTGAGAAGGACCGGTACGAGAAGACCGCATTTCACGGGGCGATGTCGAATGGCCACGTGATGAGGCTGTGCTCGGGGCGGCTCATGGTAAAGCATCGTAGATCTGCATGTCCGGAGTCGGCACAGGCCCTATCCACTCTGGTTGGAGCGAATGAGATTGGCCATCCGTTCTTCAAGCAACGATTGAGACGATGCAACAGCGGGAGACGGGCACTTCTGGTTGAGATGTTGGTTAATACCCTCGTCATGTTCGTTGAAATTGTCGCACTTAAGCGAAACCTTCTCAGTATAGACATTATATAATAGACATCATTCAAATGGCCAATAATGTTCATACTCAGCTTTTTCCTCCTCAGTCTCGGCCAATTGCTCCAATATCTGATCTTTGACTTCGTGGAGGGCAGCTTTGCAATCATCGTATCGCTCGTGCTCGATGAAGCCTTTGTCCGGCCACAAATCGCCCATTCTCTCCTTGACCTCTGTAACAAGCTCTGTTCCTGCTACCGCACTATCGCTATCTAGCTTGATACGCTCGAAATCTACTTCCGAAAAGTCGAACGGGAATGGGACGTCGCTGGTGACGGTCGGTAAGTCCGCCCACGTGTTCTTCAGATCGACCAGAAGCGATTGGAAGTGCGCCTCGCCGTATTCGAACATGCGGTGGGCAAGAAATATGAGCCCGTACGCTGCCGTCTTTCGGAATTCGACTACTCGATACAGGTCTGCGTTTTTGGCATGCATGAGTTTCCGCCATCCGATGAACATGTTTTGGACGGTATACTCGCGCACAGCCGCGGACCTTTCTTCTGGGGAAAGCCCAGAGAGCTTCGGCCTTGGTGCCAGATCGAGCGTCTCAGGCTCAAGGCCATCCCAGTCGAGGAAGGCTGGATCGGGATTGTGGTTGAAGAGCGGCGAGACGTGGCAAGACTGCCAGTCGATGATACCCGTGATCTTTTCGGGGTTATGTGGGTCAACGAAGATGTTGTCATCATGCAAATCATTATGCCAGAGGCACGGGTTGGTGATGCCAGTTTCCTTTGGAATAAGGGCATCGACGATTTGTCGGTACCATGCTAAAGCAGTAAGCTTCTTTTCCCTGTCTGGTCGGTAGAGCTTTGGGCCACAGAATAAGGCAATCTGTTTTGGGGGTTTAATTGACTGGATTGCCTTCATCTCTCGCGTCCCGACCGCTTGCAGATACTGCGTTAGAGAAGCCCCTACAAACTTGTCAGCGGCTGCACGAAGATGATACGAACCCCAACGTACATGGCCCTCTCTCGATATCCAAAATTGATCGGCCCGCATCAAACCAATCCCGGCCTGTAGCCGGGCCAATTGCAAACTCCGAATCTTTAACGGTCTTGCCATCCTTGGTGTAGTAGTTGCCTGCTGGTGGCTGCACGTCTCCCGCGTAGTACAAGCTGCCGTAATGCGAGAATGAAACGCTCAGCCATTGCTTCTGGAGACGTGTCAGGGCAAGGAGCACTTGGAGCTTCTGGGGTAGTTTCATCGTGCCCCAGACTTGAGACAGCGGAACACCCTCAGTTTTATCCATGATGATAAATTCAGCCCCAACAGGGTGAAATTTTGCTTGCGAGTTCCATGAGTAGACACGAGGCGCTGGTGTGTCAAGCACTTTTCTGGCCTCCCAAATCAGTCGCGTTAGCAAGATCCGGCATTGATGGTGTTCAGGATGAACATACAAAGTCCATGGTGGCGACTTCACTGGCCGTAGTAAAGTGCGGAATGCCAGCATTCGGGTTAGGCACCTTGGCTACAACTTCTCGGCCATCATCCATAGACATGAGGAAAGCTTTGTTGAACATGCCGTCGGGGTACTTCTTGATAGAAATGCACTGAGCGGCGCCGACCGAGTCTGCCGCGACACTTGCAAGCCTGTTCAAGTCGAATCTGATCTCTCGCTTTCGAAGATTCTCCACCTCATCTATAATAAAGCGGCCACGCGTAAATTTGAAGAATTCATCATTAGAATTCCAGTCTGATACGGATAAGTGATAGGTTGAATCGCGCTCAAATGGGCATGCTTACCTGCCTGAGAAGAGCCCATGCTGGCGGGACAGTGATGGTAGGATAGCGTTGGAGCTTTCGAGATTGAGCGGAAGTGTTGCTTCGGGCTTGGCTTAATACTTCGAATGTAGCACCAAAGACGCGCGGATGGAGGTCGGCACATATTTCATAAAATATAATGGCTCCGATGATCCGGGAAAACGCGAAGCACTCGATCACGCGAACATCAGATTGTCGAGAAAATCAAGGGGCGACAATGAGATCGGAAGCGTGATTGGTTCAGGAAAGGTTGCTTTGCTGCGCAAACAGAGAGATGATGATGATGCAGGTGTCGTGGATGATGATTAGATAGTCTTTCCCGCAGACATTTGAGAGGAGCTCAAGACGCTAGGGCATTTCGGGTGCACTTTATTAGTCAGCAGTCTCTGCCCCCGACTTTGGTGCACAGGCCACCAATCCTGGCGACACGCTAAAAACAGGCTACTCGTAGGCACGCGGCTTTGCCAGGTACGCCAACCTAGACCCAGACTCGACCGATGCTTTCGTTGTCATACTACTTTACAGGCTCCGTTGCAATAGAGTCTTCTGCGCCTACCACACTTTCTGAACCCACTGATTTCGAAACAAGTCAACTGCGCCGCTAATCAGCGCTAGCTGCAGCCAACCGGGCAGATGCTCCGCTACGTTGGGTTCATGATCATCGTGCTTGTCGTATCACAATGCATCATCAGGCAGTGGCTAAGTCATTTTGCCTGTCAACTCGCTATTTGCGACCACAATCTGCGTGCTCAAGACTCTACCGGAGCCAATGGCATGGGCGGTCTGTGTTGGCTTTGCTCATATTTGATCACATTCGCGAGCCGTGCCACGATCGTGCCGAACGTCTAGTTCATGTTTTCAAAGGTCTCAGGCGCTCTGCTTCGCCGCAATGCTGCTTGAGTGTGAGGCCACTGGCAGATTGATTTGCACTCTGAAGCCGGCTCTGACGAGTTGTCTGCAGCATGAAACCAAAAATCTTCGCTTCCCAATAGGGTCCACTATATCTTTGATCAGGTATATAAGACGCCAAATGACATCCCAAGAATGACAAGACAGACTTCGTTCCACAGCAATCCATCAGCTCCAAGTAAGTCTTCCATTCCCCGCTCCTGTCGTGATACTGACAAGCTTCCCCGAGCAGCATCTATATCCTACACACGCCCAACACAAGCCCTTATTGTACTATCATGCCTTCCAAGACCCAAAAGTCGCTTGAAGCTCTGATGGCCTATATCAAGCAGTCGAAGAACCGCCGCACTACGATCTTGCGTGGCCATGGCGAGCCTGGTCACCGAGCCGCCCCGGCGCGTGGGGGAAACCATGATGCGAGAATCGGAAGCCGCATCGATGTCGGAGAAATTATCAAGAAAGCTGGCAAGGAATTTCGACGGTACAAATTCCAGCTCAATTCGAACGCGCAAGATTCCACTCTCAAGAAAAAGGCAGCCCAAGATTCCCACAAGGTTTATTCGACTGCGGATGTGGAGATAAAAGCGGGTAGGACTGAGGAGGAAGAAGAGCAGGCGATGCAGGACTTCGAGGAACAAATGTCGAAGAACTTAAGAGAATAGACGTGGTCGTGTTATATCGTACTTTACAAGCGAACCGCCCACACAAGCGAACCGCCTAAAAATGCCAAGCCTCTACTAAAAAGCCGCTATCTTAGTTAGATTACTCTAACTCTAAGCTACTTAAGATAAATTTAGATAAGCTATTTAACTTAATATACTTTATAAGTAAAAGCTCTAATGTACTTTACTACTAAACTTCTTATACTACTAAACTCTCTAAAAATACTAAGCCTCTACTAAATACTACTATCTTATTTAGATTACTCTAACTCTAAGCTACTTAAGATAAATCTAGATAAACTATCTAACTTATCTATATTATCTTTAACTATCTAGTATATTTATATATTATACTCTAGCTTATTATAATATCTATAGTATTACTAAGCTAGCTAGCTATTATATACTACTATCTTTTTATACTACTTCTTACTCTTATTCTAATCTATAGTCTTTCTTTAAGTAACTAGCTATAAGCTAGCTTTAATTATAAGAGTATTCTTTTTCTAAATTTACTTTCTTTTATATAAATTATACTTTTTTTTCTATAACGTACTTTATAAGCGAGCTAGTTACATAAGCAAGCTAGTTACCTTCTCTTAGCAACGAAAATTAACGAAAATTAACCCGTTTCTCTTAAATAACTAAGCGAAACCTTAATATTTTTCTATAAAAATTTATATATATATTTTCTATAGCATATTACACCTTATAGTAAAGTTGCACTAAGATATATTACGTAATTAAAAAGCTATACGTATTTAACTAACTTTTAAGAAAAAATCTAGTTTACTTCTAGTAAGTACTATTATATCTCTATAATAATATATAGAACTTATAGTATATAGTATTTATAACGTAATAAAGGTTTCTAGAAAACTTCTATAGGGCTAGCTCTTCTAGGTATAGCGTAATAAGAGATAGAAGTTTAAAAAATTCTTTTTAGAGTTTTCTTCTCTAACTATATATAGATATTAATAATCTAGCTATATAAAGCTATATATTATAAGCTTATATATATTATAAGGTTTCTAGATATTTAGAAGTAATAATTTTAAGATAGTTTTAGTATAGTTCTATCTTTTTCTACTATACTATAAAATAGTTTTACTTTTAAATAACTACTTAAAGCTACTATATTATTAGTTAATAAGCTCTGTATAGTTTAAGTATACTATAATTTATAAAATTATAAGTTTATATAGCTAGATTAACTAATATATATATAGTTAGAAGAGAAAACTCTAAAGAAGAAATTTTTAAACTTCTATCTCTTATTACGCTATACCTAGAAGAGCTAGCTCTATAGAAGTTTTCTAGAAACCTTTATTATATTATAACTACTATATACTATAAGTTTTATATATTATTATAGAGATATAATACTACTTACTAGAAGTAAGGTAGATTTTTTCTTAAAAGGTAGTTATATACGTATAGCTTTTTAATTACGTAATATATCTTAGTATAACTTTTCTATAAGGTGTAATACACTATAAAGAATATATATATAAATTTTTATAGAAACATATTAAGGTTTTGCTTAGTTATTTAAGAAAAACGGGTTAATTTTTGTTAATTTTTGTTGCTAAGAGAAGGTAACTAGCTCGCTTGTGTAACCAGCTCGCTTATAAAGTACGTTAGAGTTAATTATAACTTTAATTTAGTAGAATTACTAGATATTTTATACTTCTAGGTAGTAGTATTAGTAGTAGAGAGTATTAGCGTATATAATTAAACTTTAAGCTTTAATACTACTAAATCTAAGTTAAATAAAACTAAGCTAGTATCTTTAAACTTTACTTTAATATTATTATTATTATAAAGTAAGTAGTATAGTAATATAATATATTATACTATAAGAAGTAGAAGACTTAGTAGGCTATAGAAAATATCTATATAGGCGCTAAGGTACTAGCTATAGTTACGTAAGTAGTATCTAAACCTAAACCTATATTAGTACTATAATAGTACCTCTCTTCTACTCTACTATTTATTCTAAATAGCCTAACTCTAAGAAAAAATTTTCTCTATCTTTATTAGAGCTTAGCTAACTATCTTATTTATATTAGTAGTTCTAGCTTTTCTAGGTATATACTATAGAAGGTAAGAATTACTTTATCTTAGCTCTTAAGGTCTATTACTAGTTACTAGAAAGACTTATAATATTTCTATTTAATAAGGTATTATAAGTCTCTATAGTTATTATAGCTATTAAGTAGCTTATTAAATTTCTATTACTTAGTTACTTTATTTAATCTATTCTCTTATTCTAGAACTTTTCTCTATAGGTAGCGTAATTCTACTTTATTAATCTTATCTTATTCTAGAAGGCTCTTAATATTATATTAGAGTTATAGAAGTAAGTAATAGAATACTAGAAAGATTTTTATAAATAGTAGTAGGTCTAGTAGATAAGTACGTAGGTAGACTTTCTTAACTTTATATAGTTCTACTATCTTATTATTCTCTTTCTTTATTAGATAGTTAGTTTTTATATTATATATATTAATATAGACCTTCTAGTCTTTCTTATAGTATAGTACGTCTTCTTAGTAATTATTAGTATATTACTTATACTAGTTAATAGACTACTATATAAGAGCTTTTAGTTAGGTAAGTATATACTTAAAGTAGTTTATAATAGTATTAGTATAGTAGAACTACTATTTCTACGTTAGAGATAAGTTTAGTAGATATAGTTATAAAGACTCTAAACCTAATTAGAGATTATAGCTATAGTTTATAAAGAATAGAAATACGCCTATAGTCTCTAATACTATATTATTTATTATAAATTTAGTAAGAGATAGCTATTAGACCTAACGTACTTTATAGGCGAAAGCTCTACACGAGCGAACCCCCTACAATTTCTTAGCAAGAAAAATTAACGAAAATTAACTCGTTTTTCTTAAATAACTAAGCAAAACTTTAATATTTTTCTATAAAAATTTATATATATATTCTCTATAGCGTATTACACCTGCCACTAAAGTTGTACTAAGATATATTACGTAATTTAAAAGCTATATATATTTAAGTAACTTTTAAGAAAAAATCTACTTTTCTTCTAGTAAGTACTATTATATCTCTATAATAATCTATAAAACTTATAGTATATAGTATCTATAACCTAATAAAGGTTTCTAGAAAACTTCTATAGAGCTAGCTCTTCTAGGTATAGCGTAATAAGAGATAGAAGTTAGAAAAATATCTTCTTTAGAGTTTTCTCTTCTAACTATATATATATATAGTTAATCTAGCTATAAATCTTATTATTATATAAATTATAGTACGCTCTAACTATATAGAGCTTATTAACTAATAATATACTAGCTTTAAGTAGTTATTTAAAAGTAAAGCCTTTTTATAGTATAGTATAAAAAGATAGAAATATACTAAAACTATGTTAAAATTATTACTTTAAAATATATAGAAGACTTATAATATATATTAGCTTATAATCTATAACTTTATATAGCTAGATTATTAATATATATCTATAGTTAGAGAAGGAAAGTCTAAAAAGAGTTTTTTAAACTTCTATCTCTTATTACGCTATACCTAGAAGAGCTAGCTCTATAAAAGTTTTCTAGAAACCTTTATTAGGTTATAGATACTATATACTATAAGTTTTATAGATTATTATATAGATATAATAGTACTTACTAGAAGAAAAGTAGATTATTTCTTAAAAGTTACTTAAATATATATAGCTTTTTAATTACGTAATATATCTTAGTACAACTTTAGTAGCAGGTGTAATATACTATAAAGAATATATATATAAATCTTTGTAGAAAAATATTAAAGTTTCGCTTAGTTATTTAAGAAAAACAAGTTAATTTTTGTTAATTTTTCTTGCTAAGAAATCGTAGAGGGTTTACTCGTGTAGAGCTTTCGCCTATAAAGTACGTTAGTTATCTTAGTAGAAGTTTATAAACGCGTAGAGGTATTATTTAATACTACTATTAACTCTTTCTATTTAGCTATTAGTCTCTAGATAGAAGAATAATAAGTATTTTAGCTTAATACCTAGCTTCTCTAAGAGATAATACTAGAATTTAGAAATAAACTATATACTTTAGTCTAAGACTATATTATTTAGCGTACTATATAAATAGTATACGTAGCTTATAAAGATATCTACTAATTTCTCTATAAATAGTAAAGAGACTAAGATAAGATAGCGTATTTTAGTAAGATAATAGATAACTACTAGTAGGTACTTATATATTTATCTATTCTTTTTATATAGTAGTAGTAGAGTAATATAGTTAATAGATATATTTAACTAGGTATAAAATAGTACTAGTAATAGTTATAGAAAGCTTTAAGAAGTAAGACGTAAACTCTTAATATATATATATAGCTTATAAGCTCTAATATATTTCTTAATATCTCTAGTAACTCTAGACTACTAGTAGTTTCTAGTAACTAGATTAATAGTTTTAACTTAGCTAGAGTATCTAGTAGAGCTAGTAGAGTAAGTTTAGTAGAGAATTTAGGTCTATAACTTATTATTAGGTTAGAGTAAATAATTAGTTTTAGTAGTAGATCTATCTATTAAGAGTTCTATAGTCTAGTATTAGTATTCTTAATTCTTTTTATAGTATTCTTAGCTATTATTTTACTTATTTATTCTAGAGAGTAGATATTATAGCCTAAGCTATATCTAACCTTTAGTATACTAGGTTAATTAGATTATTAATAGACTTAGCTATAGCTAGTAGAATAATATTAATTAGAGTAGTATATAAATTCTAGGTATTCTAGACCTCTCTAAAAAGGTCTACTAGTATAACTAGGTTAAATTATTCTAGAGATAGTACTATATACTATCTATTCTTAATATAATTATTATTTATATCTATTTTAGCTAAGTAATTCTTACGTTTCTAGCTTAGTATATTAGAGTAGATAGTCTTTAAGCCTAGTTAGTATATAATCTAGAAGTTAAACTATAAAAGAAATTCTAACTACTAGACTTAATACTAGCTTA